CAGTCACTCATCACTACTATCACCATCACCGACCTCAGCACGAACCTCACCGTCACCGTCACTCTCTCTGCTACCCCTATTGCTACCACTACTCCCCTCGTCACTGCTAACTTCACCGTTTCTGCCACTTACACCATTCCCTCTTTTCGCGCCCTTGTACCGGCTTGGCGCCCATGAAACGATTATTGGTATTCACATGGAACAGTTCGCGCCGGGATGCGCGCGCCAGGCGAGCAAAAGTATAGCATCTCTTTGTAGCGGCGCTTTCGGTGCAAATGGGAACGTGTTGCCAACGTGGGCGTGCTGTCCGAGCCGCGCGTTAGCTTGTAATAAAACGCTGATGCGTATTTCACGTTTCCGAATAACTGAATGTATGGAGCAGATATGGCTGTTTTCCTGCCATTGAGGAAATACGCGAGGGAGCTGATTCGTAATTCCCAATATTCTGTTATGCAAGTTTGTATTGCTGTCCGAAAATTCTGAAGTAATTTTCAACGCTGAGAGCTTTTCTCAAATGGATTTGTTTCCCTAGCACCTGAATGTGAGAGCTAAATTGCTTTTCATTCGAATAGTATATATCAGTGTATATAAATGGGTGGTTTTGGGAACGTAAATTGATACATGCAGGGAGAATCTAACTACTGTGAATGAAAATTTATAAATAAAAGTATGTTTCTGGCAGTATCGGAATTACTGGTGTCTGAAATGTATTACTACATGCTCTAGTTCCATTAATTACCAAAATTCATTTTTGTGCATTTGGATAAATTTAAAGGGTTTAGTGACGTCACAGAGGGATATATTTCAAACCCGTCTTATTCATACCTCAAGAATGGCTAGAACATATCAGTGTAAACTCGAAAAAAATTGTTGTAAAATGGTATCTAATAAAATGGGATGGACACAGATTTAAAATCACTGTAAAAATCATTTCATATTTTTCCAGAGATCGTTACAAAATATTTATCATGATGTCAATATTCACATAACGCCATGTACGTCCAAAACTTTTGAATATCTCACAGAAAATAAATATTGCACGGTATATGAACGTAAAGCAAATCTGATAATGATGGAAATGCTTCCTAAAAGATATGAGACTGAATTGATGAACAGAAGTCACGACTGCGCAACACTAGAACTCTCACATTATATTAAAAACCATAATCTACTGCAATACATTACCAGAAATACTACCCGTTTTGCTGAGATAACAACTTGCAGAAATCATAATTTTCAGTGGAAATGTTAAGTCCTATTTTTTTTTATTTTTTATCTTCCACAGTTTCGTAACACGTAGTGATAAACGGTCGGGAAATGTTCTTAAAACACTACTCAGCAATCACCATCACCGCCAAGTACGTTTATCTACAAACACAGCCAAGAAGCAGGAAATACCAGTTCCATATCTCTGTCAGGTCTGCTCTTTCGTGCTGTATTCTCGGAAGAAGCCTGGTTCCGTACTGCTTCCACCTTAAAATTTACTCGCAGTTGTTAGGATCTGTGAAATCGGACTTGAAGCAATGCGTGGAGCTCGGGAGGGGGGCTCGCAGCGTAGCGAAGTCACATTTCCTGGGCGCAGATGTTAATCTCGGAGCAACCGTCGCGTGAGAACGGTAGCGGACCTTGTACTTCTGCTTTATTCGCAGCTCCCGTTCATTAACGCTCGCCCTCAAGGAACCTCGACCCCGACAACGCTGCCCACTGCAACCCGGTCACTGGCCTTGCAGTTGCAGGAACCCAGTAGTGTTTACGACTAAGGACTAACCGTCTTATCGAAACGGTCGTATTTTCAACCGTCAACCAGCTCGTGGATTCATGAAAGGCAAAATTGCAAAATAAGGCGCTAGCAAAGACATACGAATAAATGGAACTATTATTTTCTGTTAAAAATTCCTATCTTTTTTCTCGTTCATCTACAGGAAAACATGAAAAAATAAGTTAAATTACTGAACCATTACTGAACTCAAAACTAAATTTTTTTCGATCGGCAAATAGTTAATTCATAATATACTGATACCACTGCGCTAGTATTTTCTTTATAAAGACGAAAGGAAGTTTTTCGATACTTGGTCGTAATATTACTTCTTTTTATATTAACATGCCAGACAGACACTTTAAAAAATTCACAGCGTTTTCACCAATGTACTCGCAGATCCATTGAAATCAGGTAATACAAGACATATAACACTTATCGTACTGTCTGTAATTCCTTTATTTATTTTTCAATTAATATATTAACATCATGATCACATTGTATTTATTGTGTTTACTAAAATCATTGACTATTACTCATAGTTTTCTTCTGAACATACGTCATACGTCAAACAACTATTAAATAATTATTTCCCCTGAAAAATTTAACATTTTCTTATGATAGCATACATCTAATACGGCAAAAGCGCCAAAACACAATTTTTTCTGAAATATTTTCAGAATAGTGGAGAGAGAATCGGTTATGAAATATGCCAATTTATTTTTTTGTCAAGACGAATGAAAGGAAGTATTGAACTCCTTTGTAGCCGCCGTGAGTCGCCCAAAATTCGTTTTCGTTGTTTGAAAACACCAAAACAAAAAACAGGTTTTTTAGAGAAACCTCTTCGAATGAGAATGGATACACAAAATGATGTTCTATTTCTCGATAACTAAAAACATTTCAAACTGCATTGCGATGTTATGAACCATTTAGAATTTATGGGGATGGCCCATAGTAGGTGGGACATCTGTATAAGAATTTAACTTTGGTTGTAATTTCGTCTGCAAGCTGGAAAGTGCAAATCGTGTTTTCAAGTAAATGTATGAAGTGTGCGTAAATATTGGCGGTGTGTCATATTGGTTGCCGGCTCCATTGCTTCTTTTTGAAGTGAATTTCATCGCGATGCGTTCATGCGCGGAGAAGGAAGTTGAGACGGAGCCAAATCTAGTGTAGCAGCCCCGGCCAGCAACGTACAGGTGTAGGCAGCAGAAGCGCAGAGTTACACAAACAGACTTCAGTGAGCAATGGCACGATTCTCACAGCGAACTGCGCTTGGCAAGTGTCAGAAAGACGCTCGTCGGGATTATTTACTGGGAAGAGTCTTGGCGCCCCCGTAAGGGACCGCTAGTGTTTTCAACCACATCAATGAAACGCGGGGCAAACCGTCAGACGCATGGTCAGACCGATACTCTGCCAATAGCCTGCCACCAAGGGACCGCGGTTCAGTCTCTCTCCGGTGCAAGTCACATTCGTAGTGGTCTAAGCGGGTTCGCAGCATTTTTTCTGTTTCCTGTACTTTTCATTCCATATTCATTCTGATCACTCACATCATCTTCATCATCCTCAATATCATAATCATTATTATTACATCTCGTCACAAAATCCTTACCGAGATACGGGCCGATGACAATATTGATATTTTGGATATGTATCTGCAACTATTGTTCCGCAACTCGTGAATAAATAAATAAAAAGCAATTTTAAAGTAAATTTGTGATTACACTGTTACCACTAATACTAGCACAATCATACCCACGTACACTCTCTAGAATCAATAAATAAAGTGGTTCGAAATGGTTAATGTTTCGAATGTTACGTTAATAATTTAAAATAGATGTTAAATGCTCACTGTTTTCACTATCGTCTTTAGACAGAAATAAATTACCCAAAGTTCTATTCTTTTGTAGCAGCATAGCTCACATTTCTAATCGTATTTTAGCATTCAAAATATAATTTTAATTAATATTTAAATCTAACCTAGCTTTCTTCTCTCCTAATAGAACTTCTTCACATAAAACCTTCTTCACATAATCTACCCAGTGGTATAACCGTTCATGAGGCCTCTGCCGTACATTAGTAAATTCTCAATCGTGTGTATATGATTATTTGATCCAACATTTAGCAGTCTATTTCAGCACACATCCAACTACTATTTTCTTTCGAAATTTAAAACAAATTCATCCATTTAATTATTTTAATAAAATAATTACAACTGTGCTGTACCGTGTCCATTCACAAAATAATAACATTTCTTTACGTCATCATCGGAAATACTTCTCCAAAACGATAAAAAAAACCTGAGGTATTTTATAAGAAAGGCGTTTTCGATTCAATGTGTCGGGTACAATGCACTCCAATGCAACAAACCGTATACTTATATTTAAAGTCATTTTATGAGGTACCTTACTGCATAATTTTCTTGCATTAGGCAGGAAACAGGGAACGAATGGTGCAGTGCAAATTAAACAAACAGAAAACAATAATTATAAAACGTACCTGACGCTCAACACGCAAGTAGCGCAAGGGGTTACGGATTTAAACCACGATACGAAACATTCCGCGAATTCTGAAGCGCACGGCAGCCGGCGAATTGTTTAAAAGCGTGACTCCGGCGGGGAGCCAGCACTTATCGCGGGCTGCGTGGCACTTGCGCGCTGCGGAGCGGAGCCGAGCCGAGCCTCCGACGGCCCTCACGTCGGGCCCCTCGATCGCCGTGTTCGTGGCGCAGCCCGGCCCGGAAATGGGGCGGGAGCCCGGGGTAAAGGCCGGATTGGAGGACCGAAGTTGAGGGGTGGGATGGTGGTTCGGTGGCGGCAGCGGAGACGGTGCCAGTGGTTTGGGGAGGGAGGTGTTGGGGGGGCGCGGGTGGTAATTGTATAGTGGATTAGATTGGAGGAGGAGAACGGAGCGGGACGGAGTGCATTGTAGTTGGTAGCACTGATGCTAGGTGTGGGGCGGAGTGTGGAACTAGCACGCAGATCGGGACAGTTTGGGAAACGAAGAGGGGAGGTGTGAAGCAGAGGGGAAAGAAGGAATTAATAAAGATCGAGGTTGGGACGGTGTGGGTGAAGTAGTGATCGGATTCGGGATAGAGCAGTGCGGTCCGGAGAGCGGGCTAAGGCTGGCTGGGGCAGAACAGCGGTGGCAGCGGTAACGGTGACAGTGACGTGGGGAGGGAAGTGATGGAGGGTTGCAGCTAGTATGGGGTTTGGTGGAGTAAGATGGAGAAGAACTGGACTGCAGAATGGAGCAAAGGATCGGGCAGGAAGGCGAGGCGGAAGTAGTTGAGGTGAGAGTCAAGCGGTGGTGAGGTACGTGGTGCAGGTACGTGAATGAGGCTGAGTAGGGTTGAAACGCCATGCTGTAGATCGCATGGAAGATACGTAAGCGGGCACCGGGTTCCTGTCGGAGTTAATCTAAATAGCTGTTGCGGTAAGCGAATGGGGCCGTTTCGCTTGTGGAAACTTTGAAACACCCTGAGGTTAATCAGAAAGTAAATTAATTGAAATAGGAAATGAAACACAAAATACAAATGGTGAAAATTGGAGCCGGTAGAGTTATTAATCTATAGTATCTACAGATGAAAAATTCGCGATTTCTTAAAGACATGTTGAAAATAAATATTTTGTTAGTCTCTTCAAGATCATGGGCATTCTCTCGCAATGTTTATCACGTATATTTACGTGTTAAGTCGTTTGAATTTAATAAGAGTAAAAGGATTTCTCATAAAACGAGAAGGGGCGATTCACAGTTCATCACCTTAAGAGAAATAGGTGTTAATTAAATTTATTCATTCCTTATATAATTTTCTTTGATACATAGAACACTCGCAAAAGTCAATCGAGTATAGGTCTCTGGCGTTTTGATTTTCATGTATCTCTTTGTTTTTTTGTTGTCAATCCTGCAAAATGTTTCTAATTAATTTCACGCGAGTATTATTCATGAATGGTTGATTTTCTTATGTTTGTGTCAATTTTAGAAAAAAACCTTCATTTTTGCTTTGTTTGTGTATAGGTATGAATAAACATTTCATTTTCCCATAGTAAATCGTAACTACAATAATATTGTCTCTGTACCCGCACCACATTTGGAATCATCCTTTGCATGGCAAACAGTAAAGTATTCATTCTGAAACACAATTCTACCTTATTGTAAAGCTGTTGTGAACTCTCCAGCTTAAACGTTGGTAGTTAGTTTTTGTATTTTTTTTATTTGGGTGAATGAAAGTCGGCCTTGATTACATTGGTTGCGAAGTGTTGTTTACTTTACTTCTGGTTTAGCGTCTTACGAAATGAAATTCGAACAAATCACATTTGAACAGTTTTATCAAATATGGACTTCTAGGATGTTCTTCAATGGAATGATGGAATTGGAAGCAATTTAATGGAAACGAGATTATACGGGATAAATATTGACATATTTATATTGAATATTGAATATATTCTTATGATACCATGACAAAGGCTCCAAAACCCGTTTTAATGTATGGTAGTTAGTTGTTGCATTTTCTGTAGTTTTTCTCTTTCAAAGCTTGTATTTAATTTTACAATTTAATTATAATTTCGTTGTTCATAGAATGGCAGTATTTGAATTGTTTTTTAAGTCTCAATTCACTAATTATGGTATTTTTTGAGGAAAGGGAAAATGTTTCCATTATTACATTTCTGAGAAAATAATTTAATTTTCAGAGAAACTTTTGGATGTGTTGTGTTGTGATTGTGAGAGTACATTATTTCTACGACAATACGTATTTTCTTTACTTCTGGTCTCAGTGACCACAGTATGGTGTTTGCTTTGTTCATAATTTCGTTTGCTTCATTAATCATCGTGATGAAGGGTTAAGAGTGTTTTATGTATTATTATACTTACCCATTTTATTTTCTCAAAGACCTTCTCAAAGACCTTTACTCTTTTTTTTCCTACTAATATTTCAGTATAAATCAGGTCTACGTTTTATTATTTTATATTTATGTTTTTGTTGAATTAAGTAACATTCCTTTTTTATGTTTTAAGGTGTTTTCTTCTTTGCATCACTTTTCTCTTTGCATATTTAACCATCACTTTGATCATTCACTAATAGCACCCATTTCCTGATACAAAATTCGTTTGAATATATATTACGTTACTCCAACATACATCAATTTGGCAAAGAATAAAACATAATAGGCTTCTGTAAAATGAAATGAAATCAAGAGGGGAAAAAAAGTCGTAAATAGTATACCATATGTGTTAAAAAAGAATTCCTGTAGTACGTCTTATCTGCTATCTTCAGTTATTGTATTCGCTCATTAAGTATCTTTAAAATAACTATAAAACGTCGTTTTCTCGCAAATGCCTTTGAAGATAAGGGTTTGATGTACTCCTTCGTTTGTGAAAATGTTTGAAATTATCGCATTAACAGATTTTGATTTTGTATCTTCTGATGCAACTCTTATGCAAGTACAGATACAAAAGATGTTTCATTGAACTATGCATATAAAAACAGCCGGTTTATGCATTACATTGGTAGTACATTTAACGGGCTGTATGTTTACAAAGAATACGAGGTATTATATTGACCAAGGACGAAGCAGAGTCTCGTATGTGCAGAACATGCCGTATGACTCAGCCAGCCAAATAGCAGTTGCCAAGTGTTCCGAGTCTGTCGGCCACACAAACGGCCTTTGCCGGGCGATAAGGTCTCGTAGATCAATCCGGCTCCCGCGCGCTTATCAACTCGAGACGCGGCATAAATAAGCGCTTAATCGCAGAACAAGAGCATCGCGAACGCGCCACGCCACGCCGCGCCGCGCGAGCCCAAACAAAAGAGGAACGCCCGCCGTGTGCCGGGCCAGCGCAGGTGCGCCGGGAGAATAAATCGTGGTGGATGTGAAAGCGGAATTTTACACCGATGTAATTCAAGAACGTTGCGGCGCCAGGGCTTTTCGGCGGGGGGTCTTGCGTGTTCATGTCGAGTAAGTCGTTGTTGTCGGCGGTGCTGACAGCCTTCCAGTGTTTTTGGTCGCGTTGTTTATTCTTTACGAGGAAATTGTTGTTCGCCGAAAATGTTTTTGGATGGTACCTTCGGTGTGTAAATAAAAATTATCATAAATCTTATTGCCGGAAGTGGCGATAGAATCATAAAAAACTCCCAACTCAAGAACTAGAGATAAATTTCGTAATTTTAATTGAAAGATCTGTACAAATCAATATGAATGATACAATTTAGTACATGTGCTTGCTTTGATAATAAGGCCATTGCAATGTAGTTATGAAAAACATGAAAATGTTATTTTTAATTTAAATTTAGTTCACAATCTATAAATCTCATTTCTTTAAACTATTAAAAATTATAATCTATTAATTTAATAAATTATATTAACAACGTCATATTATAATGTAAATATTATTCGTATCTTCGATTTTATCTAGCTTTAACATTTTATAATTAATTGACTGTTATTCCATATTTTTCATTGCATTTCACGTTACGAAGTATATTGAAAGCATTATTTTCTCTGTTCATCATAATTTAGCTTCCTGTTTCTATTTACGACGAAAGTAAGTCTTTTCTCCGGCACAACACGAGTAATAAATAACACACATTGAGGTTATTAAACTTTTTTCATCTAACTTTTTTGTTTCGCTTATTTTGTATAAAGAGTACTGGTAATGACTTGCCAAACGGCAGAAGAATGCCATTTCAAGTTTTCCCTGACTTACAAGATCAGGAATAACGCCGAGTCACTTTCATATTAATGTTCTATTTCACGTGCTTAATTTTTAACAATAATTAATTTCTTCTGCTTCTCTTTGCATTAAAACATTAAAATTTAATTTTAAATCTCCAGGGGATGCTGCTTTGTACACAGTTTTTATGAGAATTGAGAGCGCAAGAAATCTTGACATTTAAGACAGCAGAAAAGAAGTCAAGACATCTAACAACACAGACGGTCTGTTTTACGGTTTCCCAGGAAACCCAAAAATTCTCTTTTTGTTTGGGTGCACAAGAAAATAGACGAATTGTTCAAAAACAAATCGTAAAGAAGCACTTGCCAAAAGCTTTCATACAAGAGAACCGATAAGACACAGTCTCCATTGTGTGCCACACGCCAAGGTTTAGTTCAAGAGAAACATTCAAAATGACTTCAAAGAAATATGCCTGGAGCTTCTTGAGACAAATGTTTAAAAGATATGAAAATTCTTTTCCTCGTCTTTTCAGTGGTTTTGCAAATATTTTGAAAATTTGATTTGTGTATATTTTGGTATATATTTTCCAATAACATTCAAAAGAAATATTGTGTTGGGAACATTTTTCTTATTTCAAAACGTAATTAAGAACTATGAAGCATATCGAATTGCTTTCGTAGTGATCAAATTTCTTCACCAATTTCTTCTTGTAGTATATTATCGTGGTAATAGGGTATATTCCAATTAGTTTGTAATTTTAATCTTTATTGCATTAGTGCATATTTTGAAAGCAAGCTAAATTTGGGGCGAGTTTTCAAATTTTTATACAGGCAATAAAGCAACATTATAAACAAGTTGCACACGTTATTTTTTCATTACAGCATTATACATTTTTAAGAGATTCAGAGTTAACTCCTGAAAACAATGTTATTCTGACGTCTCGGGTATTTGACAGTTGTGGGGGAAAACGGTGGCCGGCTGTTGGGTTTGCCGCTGCTTTCCCCAATTTTCGTTGTGATTTGGCTAAATTTGTGATGATCCAACTATTTGCGCCCTAGACGGCAAATACGTCTTCATCCGTGTCATAGAACTTTATTTATTGTGTATAAAAAAGTCGTTTATTATGCTGGAATACAAAAATAGTTGTTTAAAAATCTACAGAAAGTGAGGATATTGGTGATCGAATGAAATGTTGACGGTCAAGGTGGTAATAGAACATTATTATAACATTGCTTTTAAGGATTATGAGGATTAAGAATATATGAACATGTTAGATCAAAATAAGAGAACATGTTTAGATAAATATTTGTTATAAAATCTTAATTATGTTATAATCTTTTTATTAATGATTTGAGAAGGATCCCCTAAAAAAGTACCAATGGGTGACTTGTTTTCATTTCATTTGATATGGTAAATAACCATAGTATTTACTTACTATTCCACGTTCGAAACAGATTTTAAGTATTCTTTGTTTAAAAAAAGGTGACGATAGGCATCTTGACAGGTATTTTGAAATGGGTACACCAGTGACAAATTCTTACAAGTTACATACATTACTTTTAGAAGTATTTCTAGAAACATACAATCATAGTCTAGGGATCGTTTAGCAGGGTGGGTAAAGACAGCCATGTATTTTGTGTGTTTATATTACTTTGCTGTTGACGTCTCACATAGTGGTTCTTTGCCGTACGCGAACCGCAAAAATTTATCTTGTCAATTAATAAACAGTAAATGAAAGACATGGTTCTTATGAATGAAAAGAAATCGATTCAGTGATAGCTTTAGTATCTTCTTAGCAGTTTCATTTTCATAAAAGTGAATAGGTTAGTAATGCTGTGTATGTTCCAAATTTCGATTTCGATAGTTTTTCATTCCATTAATTAATTTAACGTAAATATTGAAAAACTTTCTGATTAAATTCTTATTTATTTAATAAATCGCCTAGTGAAAATACATGCATCAGCATTTGGGCTGTAATAAAAAGTAGAAATGATAATTCTTACTTCAACTGTGAACGAAAAATACTTCTCCGTACTATGACATTCGCTAACAAATCATTTTAGAGGGTTACGCAAACATAGAATCACTGTGCATACCCGAAGCTTTAATAAAAATGCATTCATAAGAAGAGTGAGCTCGATAAAAACTCTCGGCCTCGTTGCAAATAATCGTATTACCCTGTTTATTTCTATTTTTAAATCCAATATTGGTCATACGAATGTTTTTTAAATGAAAATGGAATTACTAAATTCTAATGAATAAGATATATTTATGATAAGAATTACGTATTTTTTACCAGCTATTTAAAGAGATCGAGGTGAAATGTTTGTTTAATTTCTTGAATTGATACACGCTCCACCGACAATTTCTCTTTCAGATCTATTCACAATTTACAAGCGTCACTCACGTCGCAAATACGCATGAAGAGTCACCAGCATAAAACAAGAGATCGTAAATACGCCAGCATCAAACTCTGACATTCTGAGCGCCCCGCGCCACCCCCACGCTGCTCTTGCACAACTTTTCGTCCCATTCCGCCCCTTATTGTGCCCTGCGCAAAATCCCCGTCGTACAACTCCCCACCACTGCACCCCCCCCCGCATCTCCTTCCCCGCGCCGTATCTCCCGCTCCGCCTGCCCCTCCTGCTCTGCGACGCCCAGCCCCAACCCGCGCCACCTCATCATCCTGGGCCTCCTTTCTCCCACCTCCATTTCCTCATCTCTCCGTTTCGAACATCCAAGCTGGATTCTCTTAATGCACCTCCCCGCTCTATATCTCTCCACCTGCCATCTCTCCGTCCTGCCGTCTCTCTGTTCCTCACATGCCACCCCCCCATCTGCCGTCTGTCTGTTCCTCACATGCCACCCCCCCATCTGCCGTCTGTCTGTTCCTCACATGCCACCCCCCCATCTGCCGTCTCTCTGTTCCTCACATGCCAACCCCCCCTCAGATTTCCTGCTTCGCACCCCTGTACCTCTGTGTCTCTTAACTCCTGTTCCTGTTCCTCCCTAGCCCATCCCTCCCCGGCCTGCACCTCCCCGTCGCGCATCATCCCATCGTTCTTTCCTCATCCTTCCTTCATCATCCCATTCCCCCCTCCAAGTCGTACGTCTTTCCTCCCCTCCCTTCGCCTACCAATTCCCGTTTAACGCGCCTCTCTCCTCCACACCTCTCCGACTCCGCGTCTTTGCCTTACACGCCCCGCCTCGCAACGTTGTGCATCTAATCTCTTAGTTCCCAGCCCCGCACCTCCCAATCCTTATGCCCCGTTCCCAACCCACACCCTGTCTCCTTACATCGTGTCTCATCGGCTTAGTTAGCTCGGAACCAGCATTTCCGCTCTTCCTGCAGTCACTCTGACAAGAGGTCCTAGGGTTCGAGTTACGATGGTGGCAATGTTTTGCCACCATACTAGTTGCTACATTACATTAGCTGAATTGGATTTAGCCATTGTCTGGAGGAGAGCTGCCGGCTGCTCTGATAGTAGTTTTCCGTGTCTTCTCTGATATACCCAACGCTAGTGCCGGAGCACAACGATAACAAACGGACCGTGAGCGATCTTTCCTTCCTCTTCCGTGTCCTGTCCTCTCACTTTACTCACATATATGCACTACACTATCACACATTTTTGGAAGGGGAGTTGCCCACAATCCAGCGTGTATGTCCGCGCAGGATCTCACCATACAGCGGAGGAGGAATACCTCAACCTGTCGATATAAAACCACACGTACTATCGGGTCCAAGGACCATAGCAGTTGGCGTGCCCCAGAACAGAATTCAATCAATCAATCAATCAATCCGTCTCGCCCAGCCCCTACTACATAGCGCAGCCCCCAAGGCCGTGTCGCGCGTGCGTGCGTGCGTGCGTGCGTGGGTGAGCGGTGGGGCGGGTGGCTGCTGCGAGCGAGTGACGAACGCGAGATGACGCGCTGTTAGGTTTCGCGCCGGAACGATCGCGCGGCGGTGATTGGCAGCGGCGACAGCGCGCCGGCACTTTGTCACCGCCCACGCAGCCTCGAAATACGACCGCCGCACCCCCTGCCCCCGCCCCCGCCGGCGGTCGCGGCCTCGCCCTCGCCCACGCCCGCGCCCGCGCCGCGAGGGTGCGCGCCGAACCGCGCTGCGCCACGAAGCCCAGAAATGCCGCGGCGGAACAAACGCTTCAGGGGCCAGGGACTTCTCTGTTGGCGAGAGATTGGTTTTTGACGGGGAGAAAGGAAACGTTTTACTGCCTTTCTTCTGATCGTCTTCCACCCTTGTATTAGTTTTATAACATTTTCGACAGCTACACAAAGGTTATAAAAATAGCAACAATTTTAGAAAAAGAAACATACACAAAAGAAAATAAATACAACATATCTACACCTAAATGCTACGCTAAATGAAATCTTTTTTCTGGTATTTCTTGACTATTTCTAGGCTTTGTTAGTAATTACGTGCAAGTCCTCAACGGACCTTTATCCGAAACCGTTATATTTGAACGGCATATTATGTTCCATCGTTTGTTTCACGCCGCAAAAAATCAGAATCGCGTTTCAGTTCCCAGAAGTTTTATTGATGTTTATAGTTTCCTAAGAAGGTCCAAACCCCTGGCCATTCAGTTGAATTGGATATCAAATGTTTGGTTCATTTTTATTTCACTCTCTATGCTTTTTTATATTTGTTATTCTGTGAATGAGGAAGATTTTGAATTGCCACAATTGTATTGTGTATTGTGGCTGTTTTCTTGTCAAGACACTGACAACTTTTAGGAAAGTAATAAATTTAGCGGGAAATTATAAATTTATTTTGATCTAGAGCTAGGGGGTTAGACAGAGAGGTACGCATATGACTTTCTGAATACTTTAAATCACGTGACATACTCCTCGAACCAATGACAAATTATGATTCCCAATTAATAGTTATAGATTGAAAAATATATTTTGAGTAGTATTTTGCTATTTTAAAATCTCTGAATCTACGTTGTTTTGTTTACCCCTGTACTATCAACTCTACATACTTGTAAAATCATATCATCTAATTTCTTCTCTCTGAATGCATGGTGTGCCGCAGAGTATCCTGGCGAACCCTAAAGAGCTCAAAGCACATATGTGGTCAGTTACAGAGAATTTGCAATATGACGTAGTTTGTCATCGCCTTTTTTCAATCGTAACGATTTTTATACACGGGAGTGAAAGGAAGTAAGGAACTGCATGTCGCTATTAAAAGTAATCTGACAAAGCGTCCTTTCGCAGGAGATCACACAGTAATATTCCCCTTTTCCGATTCCTATTGTAAAACAGTTCAAAATCGATTGACGTGGCCATATAACATGTTCAATGTTCTGAATGTGCCTGGACAGGCCTGGCCAGCGTCTTAGCTAGGTAACCACACAAAAGAGGAAATATTTTGTACAAGTGTCATCAGGAAAAATCAAACACTTCTAAAACAATAATTGTTTATGGAGGTGAGCACTCACATAAATCAGTTTACTAAATTTGAATTCTTGTTGAATTGAATTTCGTTCCCGAATCAGATAAGCTTCACATATTATTGATTAATTTGCTGCAGGATTCATTAGATTGTTGACTAAACACTGTAGTTTTGTGTTAAATGCTTCTGAAGTATGCGTGCTATTTACTAACGAAAACATCGTAACACAAGCAAAACCAACTTTGTTGAACTACGCAATTAGAACCAGACATTCTTCTTCGTTTAGAATACCTGATTTACCGTCATTAGAGCTTCAGGCGCTTTTGAATTTGCGTTCCCCGTACGATGTTTTTCTGCCCAACCAATATTTCAATAATTTAAAAGCTTTAGTCGTGAAAATGTTTAGAAATAAAATATTATACGTTCTTATAAGCATTTAAATTTGAAAATAACCAATGAACCATTAGGATATTTTTCTATTATCTCTCTACTATCTATCTATAATTTTCTATTTTTACATCGGGTTTCAATCATCTTCTTTACGATCTTTACACGTAACTTTCTTGTATCAAAACGTCGTCACCTTTTACTGTAATGCTGTTTTTAATCCTCTTCATTTCATACTGCGTTTAAAATTTGGTAACTTATCTCAGACCATTATTTCTGTTTTTATTTCCAAGATTTTGTTTTAATTTGGTGCTCGGGAAACATTTCTCGAGAAATTTAAACATTTATTACAATTGTAAATTCTATTATTTTGTGTTTGTGAGTCTCACAAGTTCCATATGTATGCTCTTTAATATGAGTGACCTTGTTGCTATTTAAATTACAGGCCATTGCAAGATGATATAAGGCAAATTATAAGGCAAAGATTTAGGACATTACATTGGTAGAAGCGTGAGAGGTATGAGTCGAATGTCAACGCACGACAAATTCTTGTAGAGAACTAGAGAGTCACTAGGCGGTAATCGCATTATAAGATTCAAGCTTTTCCGATCTCAAATGAGTTTGTAAAAGGGTTGTAAAATGTAACGAAAATGGTGTCGCTAAAACCACAGCGCTTGATTCAACCTAATATAAACATATTGTGTATCTATCTTTATATTCATCTATCCGTTTATCTATCCATCTATACATCTGCCTATTATGCAGAGATGCACGTCCAAGGTGATGTGACTCAGGTTACAACCTCATTTCGGAGTTTCGCAAAATAGTAATTTCCTTGGCTGTACATATTATAGTCCATTTCACAACAATAAAGGATTACAAGATTAAAGGCTCACCAGAAGTATGCGTCAGCGATTAACGACCATCTTAAACAAACCTAAAGGTCCGCCCGTTCGGCGAGCGTGAAAGTACAAGGCTCTAGCTTTCCCGATTTCCTCATCTTTCGCCACTTGCAGCGGGGCGCACAAGTGTCAGCGCGCGAGGAAAGTGATTCGGAGCCGAGATCCGCCGCCCGCGGCGCGGCCGCTGCGCGTAGCGTGAGCAGCGAGGGAGGCGCGGGCCGGGTTCCCACTTACTCGAGCGGCGACGGAGGAAGGCCGGGTTTTGTCTGCGGAATGGAGCGCCTTTCTGCGCCGGAAATTGCGTAGCGCGCCGTTGTCGCCCGCGGGCGGCGCTGCCGTCGCCGCGGCGGTGGGGACGGAGGCGGGCGTGTGGTGGGGATCGGTGGGCCGGTGGTGGAGAGTTGAGTCATTTTGCTTCATCTTGCTCCTTTTACGTCGTGTTGTGGGGCCGGGTTTATTTACTCTAGAAGTCTACGAAACGTCTATTCACGGCACGTAGGCAATTAAAAATTTAGGAAATACACACTAAAAGTTGTTCCATAGAAAACCTATTGCTGGCCTGGATAGCCGAGGTCACTAAGGCTGAACATTATTGCCAACATTACACCTTCACAATAGCCTTAGTAGCCACTTTCTTTCCATGAAAAATAAGATTCCTTTCTCTTTCACGCTCTGCTTTTTAGACGTATGTAGGGTAAACCGTCATTTTGGCTTGTGGGATTTAAATCAAGTATGTTAATTCATCAACATTGCCGATTATCAAGGTAGATTCGTTGACATATAATACTCGAAACTATCGTGTTTTTCTTGTTAAATATCAAGCATAATTCACATAGGGAATTGAGATTAGTTAGAATTGTCGACTTGTATAAAAACAAATTAACATAAATAAATTATATTAATAAATTACAAATTAAATTTAATTAAGTAAATGGGAATAACGATAAACAGTTACTAGCAAAAAAGCGAAATAATTAGCAATTTGCAAAAAATAATGCTTAATAAGAAAATATGCCAAGTGTACATATACTGTGCACCATAGAATCATACCTAAGCAGTTGTAAATTGAGTATTTCATGCACGCACATTCTTGCCACAGTGCATACTACTAAGCACACACTTTCTCACTACATAGTGAAAATATCCCTTTCTCTTGAAATCTTCTCCTTATTCATTTTAAAATAATCTGAGACACTATTTCTTGATAACTGGTTGAAGTTCACTCTTGGTTGCGCGGGAGGCGAGTATTTTTTGACAAACTGCCGAAGTGTACAAAGACGGACAAATAGCTGAAGTAGTTTGTGTTAGTGTGGAATTCGCGTATTTAATTGAGTTTTTAATACTCTAGTGATAGTGACGCGAGAGCAATAAGTCATATCTGCATTTTGATGTAAAATGCTTCGGAAATTTCGCATTAGCTGTAATTAAGGAAGTTGTACGTAGTTCGCTGCGAGCGAAGGTCTAAAACTCGCCATCGACATTATCGCGCGATTAAAGCGAGTTGAAATTGCCTTGTCAAATTGGCGATTTGTTTGGTAAGCTAATTTAACCTACCTACTATTATTTTAACCTGAACAACTTTCAACTTCTATTCTACAACGCATTTTACATGTGCTCCATATATTCATTTGGTTTTCCTGTCGGGCAAGAAAATTGTTGCGTTCGGGATGAGTTGTCTCTGATTCATTGTTACTGACGTAACCACCAATATGAAGAAGGCTGCAACATGTTGGCCAAACTTTTAACCACAATCATCTAGCAGCAGCTTGTCCTGGTGAGCTAGTAGTCAATAAACATTGATCGAGGAAGCCGTCACCGATTGATAGATATCCATCATAAGACTTACTCTTCTGTTTTCTTGTACTTTTTCACCCGTCCCCCCTCCCTCAACTTCCATCTGTTCTCATTTACATTATCATCTGCCATCATGCTTACACGAGTATTTACCAATCGAACTGCTTCTTCTGAAAAAAAAAAACAACGCAATTTGAAGAAATTGATTTGTCAAATCTAATTGATATCTGAACTGTGGCGTATCTAATTGATGTCTGTCTTGAGAGTTCCGGATTAATGCATTGATGATTGTGACTTTTGTATCACGAGTAAGCCAGTAGTTGCTCAATACTGTCTCGAGATATATCAAAATTTGCAATTTTCTTCTATTCATGCTTCTATCTGTAAAAATATTTGAAGAAAAAATTTGGAACGGTTTTGAGAAAAATGTTTTTTAAATAAATTGCATTCAGTTTAAGCTCAAATTTCGCGATAATTATTAGTTGTTTTTTTTCAAAAAACTGTATGACCTTTTTTAAAGAGCATGTTTTTGGAACAGTCTTTGTCTAAGGCAAAAATCTCTACCTTCAATTTTGTTGTTTTAAAATGTTAACTTTTTTCAAGTTTTAAAATTACAGAGCGTTCGCCGAAAATGGGACTAATATCATACTTTTACCGACCCTTCATACATACGAGGAGAAAATTTTAAAAAAATTGTGCCGTTAAAAAAATGTTTTAGAAAATTAAAAATTGCCTATATTTATTTTATTATAATATAATATATTCAATATAATTATGCAAAATAAATTATATTTTCCAAAAATTGACCATTGTTCAAAATCAATCTTAACATTATCTGAGGGCAATGTTTAATTTAAAAATTGCAGATATTTTGAGAAAATTTTGAAAATGTTTTGAGGCTTTATCTAAAGTAATCACATTAATCAAAGTATCCACTTCAAACTTCTAAAGCCTAAAGTTCGTTCAGTTAGATTAAAGAATATCAATTTTGTAGAAAATCGGTTGAACAATTTAGCCCCTAGCGATCAAACGACAACAGACAGACATTTTGCCGTCAATTAAGTTTTCGTTATCAAGGACCAGAAACAAGGGTACTGGTTACATGACGTTTTTGAGGAAGTAATTTGCTAGCAAAAGGATTTAACCACCTTTTCATTATCTGGGCTCGGTAATGAAAGTTGTTATGCCGAAAATTCGAAGTTTTTCGATGCACGATAGCGTAACTTCTTATAAAGTAAGTGCGAGAAAGTAAAAATATATATTTAAGTTACGAGTTTTATAATAAAGTTATTTTCGACCACTATTACATATATAAAAATAAAAGCAGAAACGCTTAAATAAAATTAGAGGTAAAAATTTAGAAATATCTTTTCAAATTAATATGAAGTTATTTTTAGGAAAACATATTAATGATGATATATGATGATCATGATCGTATGATGAATTAGAAATGACATTGTGCACCGGGTTGGAAGGAAATTCACTCAATCAAATTGTGATTTATACTGACTGTTTCGAAGAGAAAAACTTTGTTTCATGATACATTTTTCCTTTCTAATGTGAGTACTCTGTATTAATGTAATAATATTAAATCCTTCAATATTATTTGTTGAAAATATTTGCAAGATTATAACATGCGTTTATCCTAAAAGTTATTTTGAGAGTACACAAAGCATTTTCGCAATTCAAGTCTGCGTTGGAAGTCACTGAAATGAATACTGAAACCGCGATGCGTTAAGTGGCATTATCTGAGAATTTTCAATGTATGAATCTCATTTACGGAGACTATTCCACAAATGAAATAAACTAATTACTATTGTATATTTAATATATCATATATTATGCATTCGAGCAGTAATACCGTGCAGCTGGTATTGGAAAAACAAGAGAACACAATCTACGTAACTAATTTTGTCAATAATTGTTTTGTTTTTTAAATTCATTTACCTAAACACATAGTTACAAAACACAATTCTGAAAATAATACCTAATTGGAGATATTTTGCAGGTTTTTGCAACTAACATTCTAATTTATTTCTTTGATTCTCAAATATTCTATGAAGTTTAAATGAGTTTGTGAATTATTATTCCTCCAACAATATTTTTTTCTTTGAACAGCGATTCGTTTGAAGCCTCACGGTTGTTCGTTAGAGCGGTAAGATTCGTTGTTGTTTCAGCAAAATGAGTTGTAAAGAAATTCCCACGCACTTTGTATGCTCGCGCACTAACCAAGTTTTGTACCGTTAGAGTTGATCATTGCCGATGTCTGTACAGAGATCTGATCGGGTGGTCTTAGTCTTCGAATCCCCACGATTAGGGATTTCTGACTGATGTGGTCAAATTCAGTCGCTTCGTGGGGGAGAAATTGGCGGCTGGATCTTCTGATCAGTAACTTTCGTGGTTTCTGCCATCAATACCACGCGAATGGCCGGTACATTAACTATCTACAACGAACTGCGCGCAGTCATTTCCTTCTCTGTCTGCCGCATCATCTCCCCCTTCCACTCCCTTCCACTTACATGCCCGTCACAGCCACACACGTCGGAAGACCCGTCGGGAGCGTAGAGCGTGTGCCGGCTAGTGCGATGCCATGTTGAGGCAGAAATTCTCTGCAAGCTGACGTGTAGGTGGTGGGCATATCCGCTTGGCCATCCAAACATACACATCCAACGATAAATTAAATAGAACGATTACCTACGGTTGATTATTTCTCAAATATAAACGTCTGTGTGATTGTTCAAACACCTGTACTGCATTGAAGCTGAAATGTAATGAATAATGTTACTCAACGATTTGCAGTCATCTAACAAACCAATTATACAATGCGAGTAGATAAAAAATAACGATAAAATTCACTCTATACGTATATTATTGCCCGTCTCAGGCCATATTTCGGTATTTTAACGGATACTTTTAGATTATGTTACAGCGTAATAGTAAAATGTTGATTTAGAATCGTATTGTAATTTTGAGGTAGTAATTTATTTAATTATTATTTGTTCTCAAACACCTTAGTGTGGGTAAAAATATTCTATCGAATACGACTTGTTTTTGAAAACTAACTGCGATGAATGTTAAAAAATATAAATAAGTTCTTTTTATTTTCATTTTTAAAAACGGTTGAAGAAAATTATTCATTGATTTTTAATAACTAAGAATGTTCCACGAAAGTGACAAAAAAGTAAACTTCAGCATAATTTGGAAAATATGAGCTCCGTTTTAAAAGTACCTCTGAGGGTCTCTTGTTTCGTTGTTGTGTCATTAAGCTGCACCATCGTGACTCAGAACCAGACAGCTCTAAGACCATTTTACTAAATTTTTCAGGAGAGCCATTTAAAGTTTTTGTATGTAATAGGTAAGTATGGAATAGGTTAGTACGGAATGAGATTGTTGCACGCTTATGGAAAGGAATATTTTCAATTCTGTTTGATAAACGCATGTAGATAGGGACTTAGAACACAATGAAACAGAAATCTAATTTATTTATAAAATTGAACTTGAAACAGTCTGCTTCTCAACCATCGATTTCTTGTGCAAGAGAGACGCTGAGGCATGTGGGGCTGGTGACGAAAGAGGCACTTGGCTGCGGCAACGTTGAACAGTAGTGCTTGTGAAACGTTTTCAGTTCAAATGATTACAGTACTCTTCAAGAACTCTCAAAGGGGATACGGCAGCAATTTATTTTTTCTTATTTCAATCTTCTAAGAACTAATTGAATTAATAAAATAAGTTACCATGCATGTTGCATGTACAGATCTTTTGGTCTAAAATTTCATGTAATCAGCAAAAACCTTTAATTTAACTTGAAATCTGTATAGTTAGTATTACAGTAAAGGCAAAAAATCAGTGCAAGAATAAAAACAAAAATGACTTACACCCTGATACGAAACACATTGAGTATCCTTGATAGTGCATATTCTTCGATCAAGGAAATAAAAAAGTTATTTTTTTATTGTCTTCCTGGTCAAGATACATGTTTTTCTGGGTTGTGAAAATAATCTTATATAACTTTTTGTTTATTTCCTAACTGAGGGTGCCCTGGATGCGATAAATGTTTTGGGTTGTTTAATAATTTAAATTATTACGGAAGTATATTGAGATTACAGAAAATGATCATTGATATGATTATTCGATGAAGGTTATTTGAGGTCGATTTTCTGCTGTTTTATGGTGGTCAGAATTTGTCATTAGGGAAGCGAGAGTTGATGCGTAAGTTCGGTTCTGCTGTGCGTCTAAAGTTGAAAGTGGAGGTGCTGGGAGGTGAGGGGAGTGATGTGAAGAAGTCTTCGGACAGTTTGGTGATATATTCTTTTATTGTCGGAATCTGCAGTTCCTGATGGATTTGCTTGTTCGATATGAACCATTGGGACTTTAATAGCTCTTAGTGCTCTATTTTGTATACTTTGTAAAAAATTTATATTAGATTTGGCTTTTCCCCATATTAGGCATGCATAAGTCATAGTTGGTCGAATTATAGACTTTTCCGGTTTCTATTTCAAGAGAGTATTTTTTGTCAGTGCGTAAAGTTCGGAAAGTTTTGCTTGTGTTTTTGTTCCTGTTGTGTAAATGTGTGTTTTCCAGTTTAATTCTGTATCTAGTTGCATTCCTGAATATTCGGCTGCTGTGTTGTTAGTAGCCATGAGAATATTTTCGTTTTTCAAAATTAACTGGTGGAAGTGTGAGGGGATGTCTTAGGATGAAAATGTTTGCTTGCGTTTTATGTGGATTTATTTTCATTCTCCAATATTTTGCCCATTCATTGAATATGACGAGGTCGTCTTGTAAGTTATTTCTAGCTGTCATAATGTTGGAAAAAAGTGCTGCGACGCTAGCGTAAAGCGCCATTTACGAATGTATTAGATGTGGATAATGGGATGTGTGTGTATAATACTCGTGATAATGGGGACTCTTGAAAAGAAACAAGAAAGAATACAATTATCTTCAGTATGAACAGTGTCGTTGTGCTTCTTCCATTGATCTTTTGAAGAAGCAACGAAAATTGATTTGCCTCGTATTATGAAAAGAAGGAAAGCTTTTTTTTTGCAGTGACTTTATAATTCTACGTTTTCACAAAATTATTTTTTCTTTTAGATAATAAATTAGCGCAAGTTATAACGATTTTATGAAATTCAAATGGTTCAAACTGAATGTTTGTAATTATAAGTTATGGTATTGATATGTTTGTGGAACTCGTTGCGGTTTGTCTATACCACTACAATCACAATGTTACATTATCATAGTACAATCGAATGCCGCTACCGTTAGCGTGTTACGTGAACAGACAGTGAATAGAAGTAGGACTATAATTTAATACGTAAGTATTTTATTAGGAAACGTATTAGTTAATAAAAGTACTTCATATAACGCAAATAAAAAAATGGAATTTTCTTATTTTTAGTACGTAAATGGTTTTTGTATTTATTATTGTTTTTTGATACCCTAATTTATTTACTGCACATTAAATAGTGTCACTCCTGCTTCAGATATGTGTTTTTTTCATTCTCTTTCATTATTATTGAAATAAACACTACTTAGATATCAACATAACCCCCCAAAAAAGAATGAATGCCTAATATTGTATGGAGGTCTTAAGCTCAACACTACCCTGGAATAAATGTGAATTATTTTAATTACTAGCTTAGAGTGACGCCTCGGGCGAGTGTTTAGTGTTAATTATTTTATTTATGTTTTGTAAATGAAAAAATAACCAATTACTGAGTAGTTAATTTATCCTCGGACAGATAAAATTATATAAAAACACTAGAAATACCTTTACATTAGAAACATTTTTGTAATGTTAACCATACTGTACTGTTCGGGTCTATGGGAACCAATATAAACGTTTTTTGCTCAGTAGGACTTTGTATGATTACTCCTAGTCTATATTTGATTTTTTGAAGCGAAACATTTTTCATAGATTTCTCATATCATATAGATTTATATGTATTGTTCGGGTTTATTTGACCTGGCTATCTAAAATGAATATTTTGATATTTCAAACTCGAATTTTTAAAGTATTACTGTAAACGAACATTTATCAGATTGAAAGTGAAGTATGGGTTGACGTATTTACCTATGTAAACTCAAATTTACACACATAGGCTTCCTGGTCAGAAAGCAGAAAAGAATCAGGCTTGAGAATGGTGTGTGATCTAAAGAGTGAATTGGAAGAACATTATCTTACGTGTGATACATTCACATCATAATTTGCGGCAATTCTTGCCAAGAAGGAAAATGACCATTCTGGGAACAATGCGAAAAAATAAGACAGGACTTCCCCAACAAATGGACAATAAAACGTTCACAGTTCTTTCTTTTATTTTGCGCCAGACATTACTATCGTAAATTATGTTCCAAAAAAGAACAGGAGCGTACTTCGTATGAGCAGGTTGAACTTCGACAAAGCAATTAACAACACAGAGGCCAAAAATCTGTAATAATTTTGCATTACAACGCTACAAAAACGCAGTTGATACTTTATATTTGCTTGTAAATGCTTATAGTTGCGAGTAAAGGACCAATCCTTGGCCAATGATTATATTTTACAACATTCTGGATATTTCTGCTTATAATACCTTGGTCATGTGGACTAAAATAAATTCTGACCGGAATTACAAGACATTCACAACAAGAAGGTTATTTTTGGAGGAACTGCGTAAGACCCTCAATTGCGAGCATGTTCAAACCACGAACTGAAGAGTCACGGAACATTATTGTGAAAATGCAGTTATCGTGTACAATCGCGTCAGGATCTATTGCACCAACAAACGCCAAGCGATATCAAAATAAATTGTATCCACCGCTAATAATAAAACAAATATTTTGTGTGGTATGTGCTAAAAACAAATTTTCAAACGACATGCAAATTATTTTCGTCCAAATTGCAGTAACAAATAAATTAAAAAATGTAGAACATGGTGTAGGTATAGTTATTCATGTAGTAAATATTTCTAGTATTTCATATTTCAAGTAGTACAAATATTGATTAATCATTTGTTTTTTGTTTACTCTACTCCATTATGTGAAATAATTGGTTGTGTCATTGAGACCCGAACAGTACAGCCTTATAGTAAATTCGAACAGTACAGCTGGATCAGTCTTTCAGTACAAAGTTTAGTTTTATTATCGTCAATATGATTAATCATGCCTTAAAGATTCATGTTATGCCGGAAAGAAAGCGTAGTAATTCACAGTGATTCATCATATTAGATGCCTGAATCTCTCAAAAAACGCTTTTTAGAATTATTCCACAAAATATAAAAGAATTTCGAAAAAAACAAGCTAAATACGTTATCAATAGATTCGTCATGAGAAGACGCACCTTAAATTTTCTTTAAAACGCTTTTTAGGAAAACTCATATAAACACATTTTGTGGATAACTCTCATAGAATGTGGAAGAATTCAAAAATGATAACCAGTTTTCTACAAGTAGAATCAAGAAAATGAAGCATCTAACTTGACCCGATTGGCGGAGAAGAAGAGGTATAAATAAGATAAGGATGCCTCCACGTAGATTTCTCAATTGATCATACGAACGTATTTGTCCTTTTAGTGTGGGATTAATATGGAGTTTGCCACCTAGTCGTGTTCCCAGGGCTGGGTCCAGGTTTTATTTATCATCCATTCCTGGTGTTAAAGGACACAAGACGCAGGCATGTATTTCCTTCACCGTACAGCACATTTCGGCTCCACATATACAGTTCATTTTGCCTACCTGTGATTTTCAATCATCACACAGCTATAGAAACTAAAGCAACTGTAATGAAACGCTACAGCTATATTTTTTGTCCTGATAAGGAATTGAACCCGGGGTCGCACCACAGAGAGTTTGCACGCTGTGCATGGGCCTGTATCAATTATGCATATTACATAGCGAGCCCTATAAATATTCCGATATAATTCACCGTTCAGGAATACCTTTACTTTCAGCGACCTAGCGGGAGGCGAAGACAAACCGGGAATCGAGCGTGGAACTTTCATCATGTCCAAAAATAATAATAAAAAATAAATCCTTCAATACGTTTTTTGCTATGGAAGGTCGCATCAACATCAAAGTCATTAGCGACCACTATGGCGTTTAACTGTATGATAACTGTGAAGATGACATGATATGGTGGTAATAGGGGTAGAAAAGACAAACGCAAGTACAACCATGCCAGGGGCGGGACTCGAAACCGCGATCCTTCGGACCGAGATCGCTACGGCACTACTGCCTTGACTATCTCGGCCATTCAGACCAGCTTCAATAATTTATCTTCACAAAACTGGATGACTGCGGCGAGGATATGCGCGTCCAAGCGCGGTTGACGCGCGTCGACGCGAAAATCGCATTTGACGAGCGAAAGTCCCCGCTCTGTCCTCCACCGCCCGGCTCTGCCCACGCCGCGCCGCGCCGCAGCCTGCGCCATCGTGCCAGACGAATTGCGCGCGCTTTGCTTGTGAATGCACGCAATTACAAGAGCGAGGACCGCGTCACCGGAACCTCCAAATTGCTTCACAAGTCCGTGTCCGTCCTTCCGTTCATTTCCTATGACTTCAGGACGCTGGGGAATTAGATTGAAAACGCAACGACAATTTCGCGTTAAATTCCGACGTGGTACTGAAATTGCAAGCGCCTACGACGCCGAAATCGGAATAAGACCTTTTATTGAGTTTTCTCCAAATGAAACATCTTGACGAATCGGACTTCAAAATGTCGCTTCTGGAATTGGGATTTTTGGAAGTTTTTTTGAAACTGAAGACATGCACTGTTGCCAAATACCATCGCTAGAAAAAAAACGTATTTCCCATTAATTAACGAGAGATAAATTGGCGAATGAAAGGGAAATTGATGTTTTATTTGAGTCTAGACTAATGAAAGACTTGTCAACAAAAATAGCAACGAAGTTGAAATGAAAGGCAAAAAGCTTTTTGCATCTTACTTTTCACCGACCGGAGTATATTACTTGGTACAAAAGTATTTTTTTATGCGAGATATTCGTTTTGATGATATTTTTGATGATGTTTCATTTATTTGTGCTAGAAACAACAGAAATGTTCTGTATCTAAAAATACAAATAACATGTAAATACTCATACATACTTCATTATGAGATATAGGAAATAGAAGTGGGATTACCTAGGGATAATTAAGCAAACATACAGAGTTAATCAATAAAAATTAATATGAATAATATATTGGGGTGGAAAATAAATTAATTATATTGATATTAAATTTTCTTCAAAAGATTGAGTACGTAGGGGCTCATCAATGGTAGTTATTAGGTTTTTATATCATTTTTATATCTTAACATTAGACTAACATTGTTGTTTTTTAAATGGAACACTATACTTTCTTACACGAATAGGTAGAACTTCAGGACAAATTCATTCTAAACGTTCCCACGGTCTCTACCGTTCGACAGTTTGAACCGCATAGTATTAAGGTGTCTAGCGAATGTTGTGACCTCTAAACGACATTCGACACCACGGTAAAGAAGTATAAATGTGGCGGTCCAGAAATTACGAAATATAGGGGTTACGCATTCACAGAGTGAATGACGTAGAGTGCAGAGCATAGATTTGCTGACCCAGAGCACGCAGTTTTCGCGGACAGTTGACGTAGGTAGAGAAACATTTAGAAATTCATGTTCTTTTCCACAAAGTAACATCAATAAAAGTTAGTTCGTTTTACTGGTTTAAGGCAAATTCACAATGGCAAATGGACGAAAATTTGTTAGTACTCGTACATTTAAAAAAAGTGAATATCTCTATAACTGAAGAAGATGAAACTTAAAAATATATCCTTGCCCGGGAAGAGTTCGATTATCTCAGTGAAGAAGAGGAAAGTATTTCTGTGCTATTGTTGCCTTTCAGAAATCTGAGGAAGTTTAAAGCAGAGACAATGGGTTCGCCATGCGAATTGACGCACTATGATTTCAAAAACTTAGAGACGTAATATTTACTGTGGAGTGTATTTCGCAAGACTTGCACTACCACATATGATACACGTGTGCGCCTTTTAAAAATCTAAGGTATATTGATATGCCTCTGTTAATGAAATCACACTGGTGATTGCCTTCTCGCTTCGATGGATTGTTTTCGACGAAATGTAGGCTCAGTGCCTTGAATGATCGTAACATACGTTTGTTGAAAGAAAAAATGACTCTTAACGTACTTCGCTGGGAAGTTTGTTAAAAAGTAAAATTTTACCGATATGGGCACCAGAGTCGTTGGACTGTCTTGAGTCTTGCGTTGTGGAAACAGCTGTGCTCGCCACATACGTCCATCTACCTGCTTTTTAGAAAGACTTAAAATTTTATAATAATTTGTGCTGTTAATTATTCATCAAATATATACGTGATTTTAATTAATTTGTCACCTCAAATTCTTTCTTTCTGAGTAAAAAAACGAATACTGTTCTTTTGCAAAAGAAAGTTCAATATTATTAAAATAAAAAATGATACCAAAAATCTAATAACTACAACCTACGAGACTCTATAATCGGAATGGGTCCGTGAAAATTCCATTTTAATATCGTAAACATTTTACAGAATATTCCAGGTGAATGTTTTTACTGACTAATCCTGTAATACACAGTCGAATTTTAAAAGTCACAAATGATATTTCATTATGAATTCTAGTTCTTAGTTCTGAATCATCAATACATTGCGAAATCTTCATTTTTAAATCAATAAATTTAATCAATAAATTTAATAACGTAAACTTAGAAAATGTTGTCATCAGCATTCGCTTATACAATATATTCTGCAGGCATATAGTAGTTCCAGAATCAGTTAATTTGCTACTGAGGGATACGATTAACACGATTGTCTTAGTTGAAATTGAAGATTGCACAGTAATTGATACAATACAACACAATGGGATTCATCAAATTTAACTTTCAGTAATACGCAGTTTCTGTTATTATATTTTCATTAAATCGTGTACCGTGTACCGTGTGTTTAACGATATTTCAGAAACTGTTTCATTTTTGGGACTTTTTGTTTTACATATTAAGTGCCTAAGCGTCATAATTCAATTATTCAGAACTGTGACAAGCAGTTTTTGGAAGTTCTGAAATTACAACGATTAAACTATTTATTAATTATTTCGAGTTCTCTCGCGTGTCAACTGCTTTGTTTATTACTTCCGTCAACGTTGTGCATAGCACATCTCGGCAGGTGGCGGTGCTCCTTTGTACTGTAACGTGAGATCCGGGGCCGACACACGGTGGCATGTAGGGGCGTTTTTCTCTAATTCCTCGGCGGGCCGTGGTTTGTTTATCACGGTACTGCTACCTTACTCAACTATTATTCACTGTTAACACTGTCATTAGCTTTGGGGAAATTTTTAAGTTATTATTATTTCTTATATTGTTATTGTTATAATTATTATCGTCATGTCCCTTATACAGTGAAGTGAAGTGAATTGAAGTGTAGTGTAGTGGAGGGGAAGGGAGTGTAGTGTAGTGAAGTGGAGTGCAGTGTAGTGTAGTGTAGTGTAGTGAAGTGTTATGTTAACTAGAATTGAATTTAGAGTAAGCTAGAAATAATTTGAAACTATGATATCGACCCCTAATTCTAATAGTAAACCTAATTGTAAATGTTGAAAATGTTTTGTAATTCTAATTCTAATTGTTATCATGTTTGCCACCGAGCATTAGCTCAAAGCGAACTTTAATAAATCTATCTATCTATCGGACAAACATGGAAAAAACCGAGCATACTAGCCAGCTGCCAGAATCCTTCAAAAAGCTGCTGAATTCGTCCAGGCTGTGAAGCTAGTATCGAAAATCCGCCACTGTCGTGACTCTAACTCCAGCATCTCTCTGCTAGAGACACTGCAGTGACAGTTGTTGCGCCATTCCAGCCGAACTAGGTAGAATTCTGTCGCAGTCTGGAGGAGAATTCTAGCGGCCGGTTGCTCTGATAAGTAGTTTTAGGTCTTTTTTTCTATCAACAGCAGGCGAATGCCGGAGTAGTTCCCTAACCCTAACGGGCCACGAACCGCGCGAGAGATATTTTCTGCCTCTTCCTTGTCATATCCTCTACCCTTACACACTCACACTAACGCACTACACAAGCACAATTGTCGGGAGACCAGTCGAGAGCTTAGAGCTTGTCCCGACTGGGACGGTGACCCGCTGGTGGAAGTCACCTGGTAACGGAAAACCCCGCTAGCCTACGGTAGGTCGGCGCTGGATCTCGCCATAAAGCGAGGGAAAGATCACCACCAGAGCAAACACATGCACTACACTCTCGGGACTAATTACTCTGTTTGTGGACGTTCCAGGAAACACTAAAACAATGAATCAATCCTGCCAAAGGCATTGCCTAGAAATTGCAAACGACGCGACCTCATATCCTCGATGCCTTGCACACCGGCAGGCGAATTTCACTGCCGTGGACCCTTCGTAAGTCGTCAGCGAAGCCTCACATAGCGCTCCGCCCTCGCCGGCATCCTCTTCGGCCTCCTGCCTTCTCCGCCCTCCGCTCTCCGCCCTTCTGACAAACAGCGCCGCGTCGCCCTGCGAAAACATATAAAGGGCCACGTGGCCCCACGGCGGACGTTACCCTCGCCGCGAGGCGGGGAACGGGGTCAGCGTCAAGAGCAAGCGAAGCCCACGGGGCCGCTGGGCTGGAGGGAAGCCCGAGTATTGCTTCGGTTCCTATTAAACGATGGGGGACTCGAGCGCGTAAATAATGAAATGGACACGTTAGAGGTATTGAATATCAAATGATACCACTTATCGCGCGTTTCCCGAAAACAAGTAAAGAGAGCTGAAGGCATCAATTGATGACCCTGTACTGCCTCTGACCGGGAGGATCCAGCGTTCGAATCCCAATGATGGCAAGATTTTCGACGCCATCTTCATAAATAGATCCAATTAATCCGATGTCTGGGTAAGAATTCTAACGGCCGGCTGCTCTAATTGGTAGTTTTCTATGTTTTTTCCCATCAACACAGGGCGAATGCAAAATAAGCCACGGACTACACGCGGTCTTTCCTTTCTCTTCCTTGTCCTATCTTCATCCCTTACATGCACACACTCTTGTATGAACTACTTTGCCCCACATATCGGAAGACCAGATAGATGTTGAGAGCTTGTCCCGGCTGGGGCGGTGCCCGACTGGTGGGAGACAGCTGGTTGGGGAAAAGCGCCGTCGGATCTCGGTATCCGTCTGGGGAAGATCACCACCACTTCCTGAGGAAAAACATGTACTACACTTATAAGACCTTAGTAGTTGACGCGCTCGGAAACACGAAATAATCAACCAATTAATGGAAAACAGCCACGTGATTAATGGAACTTCGTAAGACACCCATGAATTTTTCGAAATATTCTCACAATTACTAGCCCACACCTTTTAAAAGACTTTATGTCCCTATTTAACATTATGAAAGCTTCTGCACTTGGCACCGGGAAGAGCAAGGGATAGAAATTCATAGGGCGCTGACGGTGGAATGACTAGTTAGTTTGTTTCAACATGTTTTCGTAGTATTGAAGAACAAGATAGCGATAAGCGTATAGGAGGACTCGAGTTTTTTTTTCAGCATCTGTCCGAAGAGTCGCGTGTTCAAGTCCCACCTTGGGCATGGTTGTCCTTTGTCTCACGTGAATGTTGAAATGTATGAAAAGTGAAGTATAAATTGTATATACAGAAGTGAAAATAAACACATTAAAATGAAAATGTGTTTTGCACGCACATGCACCTATTGCGTTTAATTTTAGTTTGTTTAGATCTGCAAGTAACTCCAAGCAAACGATTTATTGCTTGGGTCAGAGCGGAGCAGTCACAAAAAGAATTTACTTCAACGTAATTTACTGTTATGTTTCCAACACTAAAAAAGAACCAGTCTTCAGTATAAAATGCATGTAAACGGTTCAATATTCATAGTTACATGCAGTATATAACATGTAACGAACAATAATGCTTTAAAATTATATGAACAAGTATCCGGAAAGAATAAATAATTTTGAATGACTGGTTTGATTCTTAAAATGTGTGTAAGAGCACTGTGTGTAAGAGCACTGTGAACACCAGATTAAAATATCCCTACATTTCCGTAGTGTACGTTCCAGCACAAATTAAAATTCATTGAAAATTAATTTACGCATATAGGTTAAAGTATTTTCTTGAAAAATATACTTAATTTAAGTATTCAGTTTTTATTTCATTTTTGAATTTTGAAAAAGTCAGTACAAATGCTGATTATTTTTTATAATGTCGTAATCCATGAAAGTTTTAGTTTGTACGTAATTGCTCTATTAAGATACAGGCTCAAGTCGAAATTAATGACTCTTTCAAAAGTACAATATTAAAGAAAGAGATTTATTTCATAAACAAAATATATTCTTTATTATATGTTAAGAACTATATATTAGCAATTTTTAAAAAAGCCATGTACAAGGTTTAAAAAAACCGGTGGTCTTCCCTGAATTTCCGCATGAAGTTAATGGAGGTAAAAAAGATTTTATCAAAAACCGCTCCAAATGTTCTCTTCAGTTTTTTTTTCACGAAAAAGCAAGGGACGCTTAAACGAATGGCTCCGGTCTCATTTTCTACTTCCTAAATTATTCCAAATATAAAAAAATCAGTCACTCGTGAAACCACTTAAGGATTGTTTGCACGGTTCCAAGTATGTACGTAAAGCTAGAAATGTGGTATGCCTGGAGGCCTCTCAAGCCTTTAACGGCTAGTGAGAAATCCCCGATAAAAATAACTATCTTCTTCTTCTTCTTCTTCTTCTTCTTCTTCTTCTTCTTCTTCTTCTTATTATTATTATTATTATTATTATTATTGTTATTGTTATTGTTATTGTTATTGTTATTGTTATTGTTATTATTATTAGTAGTAGTAGTATTAATAGTATTATTATAGTAATATCAATATTCTGGTAATATTAGTAATACTAACAACTGAAACGATTTTGCAGAACATTTCTAACCGTCACTGATTTCTTTTTAGGTCCAGTGCTCCTGGAAGGCGCTCTGCAAGAGTGGTGAGTCTAGTTTTCATGTGTATAATTGCATACGAAATAACACAAACTATATAAGAACGAACCTGGAATAAAGAGCAGAGGTGGAGAAGACAAGATGGAGAGATTCTCGTTTTCACAGTTGTGGGTTTTGTCCAAAACTATGCACTATTTGTTACGAGCATTATCAGTGGTCACCTCTATTTAAAGAAGTTGATCTAAGTTGTGAAACTGTAAGACGGAATTCCTCTTATTAAACTGTTATTCTTGTTGTTGAAAAATAATTTCATTTGTCTTAAGAAGCATTTCAAGGGAAGTCGATGACGATTGAGACATCGTTCATATAAAATTTTCAACTTTCATATTTAAAGATTACATAAAGATAAATATGATTGTGATTGATCAAATTTTGTAAATTTGTTAAAATTTGACGCCATGACGCCATTTGACGCCATTTGACGCCATTCAGTTGAAGATGATACTTAAAGGCAAACGTAGATCCGATTATTTTCAAACGTAGATCCAATGATCTACACTTGTGAACTCAAACGTAGATGTTCTAAAATACAATACAATCAAATATGTACAATTAATACGAGTATAAAGTACGAACATATATTTTAACACTCATAAGCTGCATTTAACCTTTTTATTTTATTGTACGTTTAAAAAGATAGCTTATTGAACATCAAAATGGCACCTTCATGATTATGAAATACCCCTTAATACGTTAAAATCACCTGAAAAATACCAACCTGCTATTTCAGCCCTGATTTGCCAGTGAGTGAAGTTACACTGCAGCCATTTCGACAATAATCGTTATAATGGGAATTTGATGTTTGTGCACGTTTTCATAACTGCAGCTTGCTCTTGTGGATCATTATTTTAGGCGGCATTTTGTGAATGGTATCTCTAAATATTTGGATTATCTCAACAGTGTTAGGCGAACAAATGGTGCCTCCCACACGTGTACCGGAATTTTAAACAAGCTTCATCAGAGCCCGCGTGCGCTGTATCAAAGGTGATGGGTCGTTTAGTACCTTTCGTGTGAATGGTTATTAAACTTTAGTCTAACACATTCACCGCAATTTGCTGGAATATAGCGATTTCAAGAGATAACAAGATGAGTTCTTTTATGTGCTGAATAGGGATATTGGTGATGAGGATAACTTCGTTTCTGAATTATGTAAAATGAAATTCCTCCCGACATTGAATTAGCAGTGTTGAAATACATTTTTGATATTGCATGATGGTACTACGAAGGAATTTTGGTGAAACAAAATGTTTCCCATAATTTTTCCATGTCTGCTGGGGCCTTCACTTAAGAGTTTTAGTTAATTATTTTTAGTCGTTGTCCATCTTATTTTAGTATTCATTCAGATATCAATCTCTTAAAGCTGTATTGTTCTATAAATACCAAGAGGTCTTACAAGTAATAAGTATCATTATAAAATGATTCCCTGGGAACTTGTGTAGTAATGTGCCATTTTGTACCACATAGTTCATCTCATTTATAGATACACACTGAGGCATTTCATGCAAAAATGAAACACCATCTTCTCTTCTGCTTGATAAACAAATATTTCTCCTCTCATTTTGCTGAGTAACGCTTTGTTACTGCCAGCGGTTTCTTGGCAATTTCACATCTTCTATTATGTCCAGAAAGTTGTGCTTAAAGTAGGGTCGAAGCACTCAGATTGTTTTTCGGTACAAAAATCTACTTTTTTCAGATACAAATGACAAAACAAAAGTGTGTGAATGATGAATTGTGGCATAATAGCGTATTGCTGCAGTGTTGTACACTGAAATGATAGAAGTTTTGGAATAGCAATATGTAATATACATATGGCAGAAGTATCACGTATCGTGGGTACAATAGAGCAGTGCACAGGCATATCTTACATTTGTACTAAATTGGTAAGGCTTCTGACATAATTATAGCCAAACAGCGGGAATTAACTGACTTTGAACGCGGAATGGTTGATGGGGCTAGAACACGGGACATTCCATCGGAAATCGTTCGAGGATTCAATGTTTGGAGATCGACATCGTCACGAGCATGCCTAAAGTACCTATTATCAGGTTTAACACCTCCGAAACGGACAATGCTGTTAGCGGATTGCCTGACTTAATGGCCGAGAGCAGCTGCGTGTGCGTTAATTTGTCAGTGCTAACAGACAAGCAACACGGTGTGAAATAAGGACATATGTGGGACGTACGACAAACATATCCGTTAGGACAGTGCGGTGAAATTTGGCTTAAATGGGCCATGGCAGCAGATGACCGACTTGAGTGGCTTTGATAACAGCACGGCATCACATGTATCGCCTCTCTTGTGATCGTGACAATATCGATTGAACCCAAGACGACTGAAAAACCGGGGCTCGGTCAGGTGAGCCCTGATTTGAATTGGTAAGAGTTGATTGTAGAGTTGAATGTGGCTCAGACCCCACACCCATGGACCCTTAATAAGAAATTAAGTATTATGTGTTTTAAAAACTATTGTCAAAATATAAATATTTTTTTCTCTTGGAAATCAGTATTATTGACGGGTATATTTGATTTACAGGATCAGATTTACTTCTAATATATATTATTTCTAGGTGTACATGTAGGTTAATTAGTAATATTCTAGACATTTTTGCTACAAAGAACAATCTTTCTCTCATCAGGAAAACCTGAAAATGACTGCGTTGAAATCGAAAAAATGTGTAACGTCTTTACTTTTTGGAACATTTTATTTCTCCTTTCTTCTCGAGCCCGTACAGCTACGAGCCTGAACAAAAGCTCCAAAAATAAATTGCCAAGTTCCTACGGAGAATGAAGAGCCTTTTTTGTGACTTCGCGAGCATCTTTGTGTGTATGTGCTAGCGAAACTTACACTTGTCTTGTGTTCGGAGGCGAAAAAGCAAACAAATGATGGTGATTGTTTTTGTCTCGCAGGACGGACGAAGGGGAAAGAGCAGTTATTAAGTTGGAGAAAGCGCAGTTGTAATTAACTGACAAAAGATCTGCAAGGAGCTCGCAGGAACCCCTGGGGTCAGTAAATGAAGTTAAATATTGTAACTGGTTGTGACATCATTGAATATGCAGCATCGTTGCTCGAGAGATCCAAGATTCGAGACCTGCCAATGAAGGATTTGTGATACTAGCAGCGTAATTGGGTCGAATTCACCACTATGTGAAGAAAAATTTAGAGGCCGGCTGCTTTGTTTCCCCGATCAATACAATGCGAACTCCAGAACCCTAAAATGCTGACTACGAACCGCATGTGATTTTTTTCCTCGACCTTGACGTGTACCATATCCTGACACTTCTGCCATATCCTGACTACCAAAGTCTGACGAACATACATTTTCCGCGTCATCTTTTTCTTCACTGAAGTTATTACAAGTATGTCTGATAAATTGGATTCACGGAAGCAAAAATCGCACTGAAATCTGTTTACAGTAGATTACTGTCAGAAAGACAATTCTATATCTTCTTCGACGTGTTATATTTTATTCCATTCTTCATCATTGAGCTATAATTGTTAGTAAAAAAAACTAATCTGTCAGTAAATACTAGTAGATAAGTATTCTCTAAAACTAAAGTTTTACTCGTTTATATTTATGTGCAAGGCGAACGAATTACATTATTAAAAATATTATTAATTAACAATATAATAACAGTAGATTAGACATCAAGGGACACAAATGCATGATTTTTCCTCAGATGTACGTTTGAAACCCAAGGGCTTCAATAACTCAACTGATGGAAAAATAATTTATTCTCTTCTGAGGTGTATATTCTATATTTTCCACGACCAGTATACTTTAAAAAAATCGCAGTAAAAGATATAAAACCGTAGTATTTAGAATTTCTGAGATCTGAAAAAGATTTCTTTTACTAGAGAATCACCATAGTAACAACCAAGAAAGAAACGTGATTAATGATGAACAGAAGTGTATTTGCTGATGGTGCTAATGAAGCATTTGAAAATTGTTTTCCTTAAAAGTGTCAAAAACGGTATGATGTTGCTCACAAGAACTTAATTTTTTGTAGAAATAAATACATGCTAAATATCACAAATCCTCAACTGTTTGGTTTCAATGTTTAATGGTATAGGCATGCCTTAGGTTAAATGAAACATTGACCTTAGCAACTACATAAGACAGATAATGTTTCCGAAAATAAATTATGAAGGCTATAAATAAAAAAACCGAATTGTTAAAGCAGGGATAGTGCTGAAGGCTTTTTAACAAAAGCAAATAAATATGAGTAAATTATTGCAACGAACGTGCGCTGCTGACAAACTCCCTTAACCTGAAATTATCACTTTTTTATTATTAAGACTATTGTGTTTCGGAAAACGAATTTCAAATTTGATATTATAATGCTCCTGTTGTTGAAATAACCAAATCCCTTCACTTCGCATCCCGCAAAATGAGGGAAACATGTGCGGATAAAAACAATCACTGACAGTAGCACACAATTTTATTACCAGACTTATTCTTAACATTTGTTAACAAATTGCGTTAATCTTAACAAGGTAATGAATTTTATAATAAAGTAGTTAAATTGGTATCTTTTGTTCATGTTTTGTGTAGAATTAGGTACTTGTGTTTGTCATATGTTTTTAAAATGTTTGCAATATAAACAAGGGGAAATATATTGTTTATAAGGCCATGGTATTATATCTCTAAATACACAACATTTAACCTCTGTCCCACGTTTGATAACATAAAAAGGGACACCTTCCTTCGGTCGTTGAAAAAATCAAATTTGAGTATCTCCTACATTCAATAAGTTGCAAGGAATTAGAACATGCATCTGCCGTCATTCCGAATATTGGGAAAGTCATCACAAGTTCACAGTAGTAGACCAAAATTCAACCATCCTAAGTACTATTTATTGAAAAATGTTGCATTAGTTCCATATTTGCACGTTTATTTAAACATTCCCTTCAAACGTAACACAGGCCTTCAAACAGCTGGGTAGAATTTGAGATAAAACTTTAAAACGTACTTTTAAAAACTGATAAATGTGCATAGAAAGTGTGAAAGAAATGCAGAAACATTTGTGAAAAAAGGAGGCGATATTCTCCCGTTTCATTGCTACTGCCTCTACTATCTCATCCCGTATGCTCTATTTTTTATTACCGTTGGTTCACAGAACTATTTACGAGATTGATGAGTTTGTTTTTACGATGCCCTACCAACGTAACGACAACTGTCAGTTTGAGAAAGAACTGCGTTATTATCCTTAATGACATAGAGTTCACGATACCACAGGCGAGGCAGTACCGGAATTGCAGTCTCGGGGATTACTCTGATTTGCGAATTCAGATGTAAATGACGGTATCAAGAGGCGATGCAACTATAAATACAAAGAAGACGAAAAGTGTAACAATTTTAACTACCCTATCTTTGAAGAACAATAGCCTGCCGTCCGTCCATGTCAAAAAACCTTCATATTTTCTTTTTTCCAGTGATAGAACAGTGATGCTTGAAATAATGTCTCATTTTCTTTGAACACTCTGAATTTCCGAAAATTTTGAACGTTTGAATTAGAGCGAGAAAATATGTGGTGTTGCAGCACCACTAGTTTAATCTTTACAGACGCACTGTTGCGAGTAGATACTAGTTTTCGAGTTTAATTCTCGCTTATACCCCCCCCCTTACCAGATCTGCATTAAGACCTAGAAACGCCGTCTCGTTCTTTTACTGTCTGTAGCAATAACAACTGTTAATCATGAGGTCGAGTTTCACAATTCCGAATCAAAGCCGAACGAGAATCTTCTTTGTGATGTGTAGCGCGGTCCTGGCTATTCGAGTCGTAATAGCTGACGGGGAACAGAAGCGAATTGTCATGAAATGTTTGAAGTTCATGCGATCTGCCGACCTCAAAAACAATGGGAAATACGCAAGAGCGAATACGTAGCTCGCACGGAGGGAAATATTGGCATCCGCAGATGCTAAACTAAGTTGAATGTTCCGTGCATCCGCGAAGTGGCGATGTATCTCAAAGTTTGTGGAGAGCGAGCAACAATAAACATGTAGTTTTTCGTAGCAATAATGCAAATGAAATTCAGGCCTTGCACGTACAAAGCAAACGACCTGCTCACGATCAATGCTCCTGGTTTCCTAACGCATTGAATTAAACTTTTATTTTGGTAGTCATTTTGAAACGCGATTTTTTAATTATAATAACTTTAATAAATAGTTTTAATTCGAATACTCTCCTGGTAATGAAACAATAAATAGCGTTGTTTCGCAGCCTCTAGCAAACATTTCCAACATTTGTGATTTGAATGCTTATCATTCCTTCACAACTCATATCCACCATACTTCAAGTTTTATTTCTCTGACCGAATTGTCTAAATATTAGAAAACATGAATATTGAATAAATAACAAGCGTCGTTGCGCCAGAAATCACCCTTTTGTTAGAATCGTGGACAAAGAGTAAAGTAGTAAGTGATCTCGCTAGTCCTGCAGCTGCACCAGCCTATGCAGATGCAACATTGTGGCCGGTAAGCCATCGCAGACGTAGAAAGAATTACCAAGAAAATCGGCTGATGGTCACATTGCACTAGATTTCTTAGATACACAGTATCGTATCCTTTGCGTCGCCGATTCCAGTAGTTTATCTAGTTTTCAGAAGGGGTCACACTGCGCAATATTGTGCTTGTTGGGTGCAACTAGTGTATCCAAAACCATTGTATGTAACAACCTTGAAATTTTCCATATTGAGTTTAACCTTAGCAATACCACGGTACTTTTGACCCCAAGTAATATCAAAGGTGGGCAAATATTGTCCACCTCAAAACGTTAAAAGTCATGTTAATGGATCATTAATGTTTAACCAAGAGTGACCAAACCCGACCTATAGCAAACAATTAAATTCATTGTCTTCAATCACTTGAAAAAGTTGAGGAATATACATGTATAACTTAACATGTCTAAATTAATTTAACATGTTAGAAACAAATATAAAAAATGATATATCATACTTATTTTTACACGCAGAAGTACAATTTTAGAAAAGCTAGTGAAAAACTCCCATCAATGGAGCTGCTTTGGTAAATTGTCATCATTACCCCTGAACTCTTGAATATTACCTGGAGGGGCTAATGGGCGAGAGGTTATTAAATGGCGGTAGTTGCGCTACTCTCTACATTGATACAGAGAGATCGAGGGGGCTAGCGCGGCGTGGGCCGGGTGGGGGTCCCGAATGCACCTCCCCTGCAGCGAGGAGCCGTGCTGCGAGGTGTGGCCCACGGGGCCGCGCCGCGCCGCGCCGCGCCGCGCCGCGCCGCTTGACGTGACGTATTGGCATCATTGTCTGTGGCCGCCTGCCGACCCTGCGACGGACGGGTACGCTCGGGTGCACTCACGGACGAACCAAGACACTTTGGAGGGAAAGGACGCAGCTACTGCGCTCGAATAGTGCTGACGTTCAGGAATCATGGTTTCAATATTGGGATCATTCTCACGATGAACAATTGAACCAGGTCTCTTAAGTGGAAAACGACGGAACTAGTGTAATCGAATTATTCTGAATATCAGGCGAGAATATTGAGATTATTCTCAGGATAAACACTTGAACCAGGACTCTTAAGTGGGAAACGAGGGATCCAATATACTCGAATAGCGCTGATGACCAGGTCAGAATATAGGGATCTATCTCACAATGAAAAATTGAACCACGATGGAGAATTGAACCACGATGGGCAATTGAAGCACGATGGACAATTGAACCAGGACTTTTAAGAGAGAAAAAACGAAGCCAGTGTACAATAGCGCTGAAGATCAGGCCAGAATTTTGGTATCGTTCTTGCAATGGAGTGATTAATTTCAGATTGGGAAAATTAACACCGTACCGTCTTTTCCTCAATTAAATGAACAAATCTTTATTATCCATTTTGTTGAGAAACGCTCGGTTTCTGACCAGCTGCTTCTAGACGATTCATCGTTTGCCAACACATTGTACTAAAAATGAATCGAAAATCTGGGTACAGTTTTAGGTGTTGCCACATCTACGTTTTTCGGATAAAAACATGGAATCAACGTCATCATTTATTCTTATTATTAATATTCTTATAATAAACAATACATTTCTCATTGTAGTTAGTACCTTGTTTGCTGAGAATTTCAATTACTTATTCAATAACCAAATCTGTCAAGTGATATATGAAATCAACAAAATACTATTTCTCAATCTGTTTTCACTTTATTCATCGTACGTACTTCTAAAAAGACAGTTTACCGCATTCCTTTCGTACCAGCTGGCGGACAGACGTTTCGCCATACTGACCATTCACTATCTAAATGCAGTCCCTCCTCAAAAAAATGTCCAATTTAAGTGGTCAAACGGTTTCTCATTTTTTCTTACTATTGTTATCTCTTCACCAATTCTTTTCAAATGTCATCTCCTTTTCTTTATTCCAATTTGTGTCCTTCTAATAAATCATCTCTATATGGTGCCTTAGCACCATTTTAATACTATACTAATAATTGTACTCTCTATGCACGTCTTTGTTTTATGTTGACTAACTATACACTTGGCGTGAATTGCGTATCGGTCCCTAGTGTTTACAGTAAAGTGATATTTGCTATTACCAGTTTGCAACTTTTAGAGTGTTTTTAAACTTTATTTAAAAATTATTAAATCTATAATCAAAATACGATGAATTACATAAATACTTAATGGTTTTTCTGCATGCATCAAAATTGTGAATTTTTTTGAATCAATAATACATCTCAAAGTTGTGTTGGATTTTGGAGGAAATGTATTAATGTCAAATGGCACATGAAGCTTATTAAACAGTGTGCATACGAAAACTTGTTTAAGGTCGATTTTGTTGAGTCTGGGGCCTTTTGGAAGCGTTAGAAGAAAATATTCATTACATATCCAGTAATTCCAATCCTGCAACTAATTATCAGCTGAAAACCTTTCTGCTAAAATCTTATAGACATGTTCTCAAATTCTATTCGTAGAGTACAACTCGCAAACCCTCTCAGTGTGTTGTTTCAAGTACCGAAATCGAGGCTTCAATTTATTCCTTTACTTAGGGAGCAAATTTGTTTCATCTACTTTGTAAGCTTTATTTACGAAACTCGTAACTTTCAACATTCAATTGCACGCGTTCCTAAAAATAAAATTTCAATACAATAATTCCATCTGAATGTTAGTTGTGTGTATTTCAACTCGAGTTATTAAATGTATTCCTTTCAATGTGACCCCACGTATCTTAAATATTTCATTTTTTCGATATTTAGAACATATTGACACCATATGAAACACGCTTATGCTCAATCTTGCTTGTGGTCAGAGTAAAATGAGTAGATAAACGATGTCCAACTAAATTTAATCTTACACAAAAGACGATGGTGCTCGTAAACCCTGTGAGCTGCAGATTCAGGGGCAATTGGTGCTGAAAACCAGCGTTGTGCTCTAAGAAGATTCTTAGTTAAGCTTTTCCAGATGGAACAAGAAAATTTTCCCCCTACCAACCGCATTACAGTTTTCAAGTATTTAATAATTTTTTTAGAAAATGTTAAAAATTACGCACTAAAATTATATGAAATTTGTTTCAATGATTATTCCTAGTGGAAAATTCATGTACACGAAATTCATGATAACTTGACCTAAAATATTCCTTATAAAATAATGGTTTGTATTTCATCTGGCGTTTAACCTTTTTATTCATAATTTTATGTTGATATATTTTGTAAACTATAAAATCTTAATTCCTAAAATCAGACTTAAAGGCTTACAATATGTTTACAAGTTTTAGTATGATTTTGCCGCCATCTCATTACGATGACTATTTGTGCCATCAGCCTGCAAGTCGTCTTTCCTGTTTTTCTACCCAGGTATCTCCTCCAATGGTTCACCGCCTCCAGCTGGGCTAAATTGAAAGATCTCGTCTGTTCTCTAAACGTGTTCGGTAGCGTGGTGCGGTAGCGTATCCTCGTGCTATCTGCATGAGGGGAGAGGAGAGGACACGGATAAGGAAGGAAAGATCGCGCTTGTTCCGGGACTCGTTTGTTTGAGTACTGCTCTGACCTTCGCGTTAACTACAAATAAAAACATTTGGGTGCTAATTTCGTCTCCAGTCGTGGTTGAATTCGATCCTGCTGTGAAACTAGTGTCGAAAATCCGTTCCACTCCCTTGGGAGTCGAACTTTCAAGACGCTGCAGTGACAGCAGTGATGTCGCCGATAGATTGCAGGCAGTCTACTTTTAATTTCTCATACTAAAATTATGACTAACATATATCCTCATGCATATTACATATTATCTGCAAATAAAATGCTAGAAAATATTTTCAAACATACCTTATTTACTATCAGTAATTACATTTTTAAATACAGCAACTAAAAGAGATGGGAAAAACTGGAGCAAATGCTGAGAGTGACTGGTAATTGCCTTCGATCATCCCGCCCGAATAAAACTGATACGGATACCGCAGCATTTGCACTTGTACTCTCGCCGTTCGGACGGGTGCCTATTGTGTAGGGACACAGAGGGTCCGAGTATCCTCACCCCCCCCCTGCCCCTTCGCCACTCCATGACGCTGTGCGCTCGGCGCCGGCCGCTCCCTCCTTGGCTCGACCCCGATTGGCCGACCGCTGTGGCGCGTCTCGTGTCACTCGTTACCCAAGCGGTTGGCGCCATTAGGGTCAACCGGCGCAGGCTCCACCAGACCCAGATTGAGTTACTTGAAGCTCTGGGGCAGAAAGCCATCGTTTTGATTTTGCCCGGTCACCCGGAACGCACTAATGGGATTGTTATTTGTTTTATCGTTTGGGTACGCGACTGTCTGCATGCTCTCGTATATTTGCCGCGGTGGTGTTGGAAAAAGTGTTGGTCGTTGCTTTTTTGTTCGTGATTGCATGTACCGAAAACGTGAGCTGTGATAAATCGAGTTAATTTGCGATGGATCTATCGTGATACAGTGTTACATTTTGAAGTGGCTGTGTAGTTGACTTCGGGAAAATTGTTAGAGGAAGTAGCTGTATCTCGTTGAACTAAAGAGAAGCTAATTTGGACACATGATTGCAAAAATCTGTAGAATGTATCCCAATTCATATAATATTTTATGAATATAACGCTTTCTCGTCTTTGAAGTATAATGTCAATGGATAACTAATTCACTGAGAAAGCAATACCATTCGGAAACTATTAAAATACTGAAATTGTCTGAACATATGTTCTCACAGAGATTTGACTAGGATTATAAAATGTTGTAAATAATGCTCTCGTACCAGCGATATTGAAATTTAAAATATTATGTATTCATTGCAATGAGGACAGTGCTATTTCATATTATCTATATTTAATCTAAAACATATAAATATGTAGTTATTAAAAGTCTGCAAATAAGAATAACTAACTAATACGCTTAAGTGGGTGTTTGTATGCAGGAGGTTTCACTTTCAAAGACGCACATGACACTTTCTTCCCAGATCTATCATATAGATGAAATCAAGAATATTTTGTTGTGTCCCATAAGTAGGGTGCGGATTTATATGCAATAAAAATAATAAAAATATGCATTTAATATGCTGGAACAAATTAGAAAAATAGGCATCCAAAATAGAAAAAATATGCACAGACTAATGTGTGTCTTTTACTTTCCTCCAGCAGCCTACGTTGTTCTAAAATATACACAATGAATGTAATTGCTACTGCGACAATTACCAGGTGATTTTTGTGTGTGTAATTTTTAATATAATTTTCAAGATGGTTCTTACCCACAGAAAATTATATTTCTACTTCGTATTAATTTAAGAAGCAAGCTGCGAGGATTTGTTGTGGAATTCATATTGTAAAAGTGTACTTTTATTTTATTATTCTCCTTCAAATCTTCCAAAAGATCATGTTAAAAACGTTATCAAAGAATTCAATGTTGCTGAAGTTTTGTATTTCAGGCATAGAAATGAAGTGTAAGACAATATGACAATTCCCTTTGGATTCCCTCTTTGTAAATGTTCCTTGTTTTCTGGAATAGTGTACGTAACTAAATCAATAAAGGGTAAAAAAGGGTTAGTTCAATAAAGGAAGTACCTTAATATCT